TCTGACTCTTAATTTCTGCTCAGGTCATGATCTATCTCAGGGTTTTAAGTTTGAGCCCCACATTGGGCTTCACCCTGGGCGTGAAGGCTGCTTAATATTCTCTCTCCCTCTCCCTCTGCCCCTCCCCACCGATATATATATATAGATAGATAGATATAGATAGATAGATAGATTTTTTTAATTTAGGCTGGCCATTGAAAATTTGAGTTATGTCCTTTGAAAATTAACCGATGTTAATTGTTGATAGAAGAAATACAAATGATTGGATACATGGTTTAATTATATGTACAATACTCTTGTACTCTATCCTACATTATAATAGACATTTCAATGGTTTTATTAATTTGAATATAACATTTTGTACAGAATTCTAAAATGATATCTTGTTAAATAAACCAGTGAAGAATAGGGATCAGTCGATGATTTTCCAGTGGATTCTGTCAGATAAAAATATTTGCAACAGCTATACAACCAGATAAATAGATATTTAAACATAATTTTCCAATTTAAATAACTATTTTATGTCATATGACATTTCCAGAATGTCATATGACATTAAAATTAACGTCATATGATGTTACCAGAATGTAACAACAAGATGATAAAAATCACAAGTCACTGAAAATTTATAGCAACCAGTTTCCTAAAGTTTTAAGAGACAAATTAAAGAAGGAACCATATGCATTTGTTAGTTTTGCAGTTGCATGTATTATTATGGGCTTAACTCAGAATGGAAGAAAAGATCAGTAATCAAGATGATCAAAGTAGGCAATGGTCATACATTTAAATAAGAGTAAGTCAGAACCTGCTTAACCATGAACACTCTTGGCATGGAATGTCAAAAGTTGGATACTATCCACATCTCCCTGAGCCAGATGGTTCATGAAGAAAAGAATATTTGATTGTCCTTTTTTTCTTTTCACTCTACTTAAGAAATCTTCAAGGATAAGATTATTTTAATTCATCAAATGGAAAAGTTCCACACTAGCTAAAACATCTTAGTTCTTGTAAAGATTTGCTACCTCTGTACCCACGTTAACTTAAATGTCACTCTTGAATGAACAAAATGAACTACATTTTAGCTAGAAAATGTAGAGAAAATGTCAGGAAAAGTGTGCCATGAGCAGCATTTGTCACTGGTTGTTTCTTTCTCACAATCAAATCATATTTAACAATAAAGTTGGGGAGAATCAAGTTTAACATCTAAGAAATCAGTTTTTAAACTAAGTTAGTTAGGACTTGAATGACAATGTAAAAGAATTGGGTTAAAAGCCAACCCAACCACATGAAGCAGTTACTTAAAGAAACTGAATGCTATAATGCTATAATATAAAGCAGATGTTCACATTTGCTTTTCTATTTGCTTTTTTTAAAATAATGTAACCAAGTAATACTCCTATTTTGACAAAGACCTAAAGTAAAAACCTGGGCTCAGGGTTTAGAAATAAAGCTCACTTTAATGAATGCCTCCCTGCTAAATCTGCTTTTTCTAATATGATTGTCAGAGCTCAGTTCATGCATTCACACATTTGGTCACATAATAAGAGTGTGGCTGTATCACTGCTGCGAAGGCTGACAGTATAGGGATAACTATCACCTCAATAGTGGACTCTCCATTTTGTTCACTAGTTGTAGCCCCTACAACACCCCCAACTATACTGAAGGACCTAAGGAAAATCCCCCAAAGAAGGGTTGCTTGAGATCACGCCTACAGAAACAGAGAAGCCAGAACACAGACCCTAGCTGCTGTTCTATTCCTCAGTCAGAATATGGGCCTCCTGCCTCCAGCTTCATGAGGAATGCTGTTAGAGTGAAAGGATCCTTGAGTGATGCTCACAGGGCAATGAGGCAATGGGATGGGATCATTCCTATCCATCTAAATGATAAGCCAAAAAAAAAAAAAAAAGGTAAACCTGAAAGTAGCTCTTCAGGGAGAGTCCTGCCAGCATAAGTAATTTGAGAAAGAAGGAGTCTTTCAAATAATTTTCACTTTAGGACTGATTTGGCTAAATTGTGCTTGCACAGGTAATACATGAGTTTTTTCTGTCATAAGTTGCTATAAACTCGGGAATATGCTTTCAAATGAGGTTCCCTCTACTTGTTCAAGGTTCGTGAGTTCTTCTCTGGACTAAGGATACCACATTAGACATGCTGAGGAACTACTTGTTTGGTGTGGCTTAACTTAAACTGGCCAGCAGGATAGTTTTCTGGCCATCAAGAAAAACTGCACATTTCCCCGCTTGGTTTATACTGGATTATAGAATACCACAGAGTGGTATCATCACTATGAAGATATCCGAAGACCATAACATAGTGTTTTCTCTTTGACAGTTGATACGAGTTTTCTTGTTCTACTGGAGGTAGTGTGCCTTTGGTAGGTACAACATCTCTGAACAATAACAACTTCCTGAATTCTTTTGTTTTGCAACTAGTGAATTGTCTCATTCAAAACAGCGAATTTTAAACATAGTAAAGGCCACAATAAGGCAATTAAAGAGGAAAGATAGGCCTTACTGTAATTACAAACTCAGTCTTCCACAAAGAATTGAAATTCAAATTAAATTGTCTTTTAAGGGTGTCTTTTAATGGGCAAAATGGGTGATGGGGAGTGAGAGGTACAGGCTTCCAGTTATGGAATGAGTAAGTCATGGGGATGAAAGGTACAGCATGGGGTATCAGTGGTATTATGATAGTGTTATATGGTGACAGATAGTAGTTACACTTGTGGTGATAATAATGCATAGACTTGTTGACTATGTTGTACACCTACAACGAATGTAACATTGTGTGCCAACTATACTGGAAAGGCTTAAGTAATGGAAACTCGAGCAAGGCAAAAGGACCCACAGTGACTACTGAGCTGAATGCCAACAAGCTCATTAAGCCTTAGGCCCTAACTGACCAATGAGCTACTTACAGCCAGGCACAGTTCCTCAGATTACTAAAAAAAAGGGAGAATTCCATACATCCTCATCCTCCCTTATTCTGCCCTCACTACCTCCTTGAGGCAGATGGTCTCCCCTCTGCTGTTCTGCCCACTGCTCCCCTGTGGTGTATTCAATAAACTGTCATCTCTTTTTTTCTGCCTTGGGTGAATTCTTTCACTGCCTGCTCTGCCTTGCCCCCATCCAACTGGGATGCCACAGAGATACTTTAATAAAAAAAAAATAAAAATAGATAAATAGTCTTTGTTCAGAAAACAAATTAGGTTGTAAGCAGTGCAAGAATCTCATGCTTATGTCCCCTAGAAATGAGTGCTCCACAGACTTTCCTTATTTAATTAATCCAAACACAGTTTCTAATCTAGAAATAAAAAGATGGCATTAGTTATTTATCTTATGGGAAAATACATGTGGTCATAGATCAGCATATGTAGTGTGTAACACTGAAAAAACTCATATTTGCTATTTGGTAAGTAATCATCAAAGCAGACGATATTCTTATTATAAGGGTTACTATGTGAATTTTACATTGGGCTATAAACCATTTGAATTATAATTCTCATTCAAGGTGTTGTCTTTTCTATTTGATGCTTTGTTTCTTCTTGTTGTCTCCATCCTCCATAAATATTTTCACCTCATGGTGAAATGGACTATTTGAAAGCGATTGCTAATAAGTACGAAGAATTAGAAGGGAAATCTTTGAAGCCATATAAAGGAATGTTTTTCTATACTTCACAGTCTGTGAGAATCTATTACTGAGCAATACCAACTATGTATATAAAATATCAAAATAACCACTAAGGTTTTAAGTGAAATGGTGACTTTACAGAGAATCTTATCTGTTTCCTTGCTTATTCTCACGTACTCCTACAGGTAAAGTACCATTAATAAAGCAGGAACATGTATAAATAGGGCATTAATTTAAAGGCAATGACTGTCATTCTAAAGCAAAAATATATAAAAGATCCCTAAAAAGAGAGATCCACTTTTAAAATATAGTCATCATCTAATGGAATTCTCCTCAATTATATGATTACTATAGGACTATTTTTTTCTTCCTCACAGTTCTGTGAGGAAAAGTAATTAGCAAGTAGCTTACAACATGTATAATTTGTCATAATTATTATAGCTGTTCATTCTGTCTAAAATACTTATTGAAGAAGCAAATAACTGATCACGGCCCAGAAAACTAAATACAGGCAAGACTGTCTAATTTGAGATTATCTCTCCCCCTTCCTTTCTTGTGGCTGTCCAATTACATGACGTTTTATGAAACAAAGGAATGATGCTGTTTTTGTTCTATTCAAAATAAAACTAGACTTATGAAATGCAGAAGGACTCAAATGATTGTCTGAATGTAAATTTTAGATGACTAGGGCACTTCTATTCTCTGTACTTTTAGTAGAAGGCTATAAATTTTTAAAACGAAGATTGCTTGAATATTGGGCTCACTGCTTCCCTCAGCATCAATCTGGATCTGTACCCACAGTTCTTTTTGCCTCTGAGTCTGATAACCTTTTGGAGTTTAAGGCGTTCACTATAACTCAATCTAGGATATTGCACAATCCCTGTGGTTCTTCCTACACTTTGCCCACCATCCCTTTATTTTAACTCTTTCAAACTCTTCTATTTGCACATCTTTTTTCTGTTTGACCCTATTACAGTTCTTATTTATTTCCTCAGGAAAAATTCCACTGATACACCAGGTATACATGGAAACAAAACATTTATTTAAAGACCTGGACACTTAGTGCATCAGTGATCCTATAGCACACAACACAAAGCTCAGGCAATGTTTGAGTCATTTATATATCGATGGAATGCATTTAGGGAGAAATATTTAGATAGAATTACCATCCAAACAAGTCCAGAAAGATTTCTGACAATCCTTCATATATTAAGTCTAACTTAAGTGAAACAAATATTTTAAGGTTTTCTCTTACAAAATTACTGAATTGCTTCTATGGAAAGCACAAGAGAAGTTAGATATTCCACTTCAAAATATTTTCATGAATCTAATGTATTTTTACAGATGTATGCCTCAAGAGAGATATTTACCTTTTCACCAGTTTCTCCTTTGCGGCCTTCAAAACCTTGCTCTCCCTGTAGAAGAGGTATATGATTTATATATAATAATAGGAACACTATTTTTAACACACACAATTATTACTATAATAATGACAATTTTTTCAGTAACAAAACATCAATAATTATAAATAAAAACCATTTCTAATATGTAAACTTGAAATCAATTTTAAGTTGGATGACATTTACATATTCCTGAATATTAAAGGGTACAAGCTACAGCTTCATGATAGTGCTCTCAAGCCAACATAATCTCCTTACACCTGAATTTCTCCATATATGGTTCCTTTCTCATAGATGTTTTGAGAATTGAATGCATCAGCATAGTGCCTGGCACCAACTAAGTTAGCCATCATTACTCTTACTTTTTCTTATTTATATTTATTACTTTATTATTATTATTACTTTTAATTATTACTGTTACTGTTGATTTCACCAGATCCCTTTTAAGCAGCCTTCTCAAGCTGACTTCCATGGAATACCATTCCAGGGAGAGCTGTGTGATGAACGAGTTTGGGCTTGAACCCCAAGTCCTGGCTCCAGCTCTGACGCCAGAGCCATGCATGCTCTTTACCACCCAGATCTCCTGTGTCTCGGTCACAGAAAGGTGACTGGTGGCTGGAGCACTGCGGGCTTTAACCGCCATCGTTATTCCAAAAGGTCTATGTCTCCTGTTCTTCAGCTAAAACCCTCTCCAGTCTGACAAGCTTGTTTTCCCACTGAATTCTGCACAGATATTTATAATACTGATGTTTGATTCATCCATTCAAACAAATATGCACTGAATGCCAAATATAGGTCAGGCACTGAAGACAAGAGAGCCAGCAAATGGCTGCTGGAGGTGGGTCATCCTCACCCCTCCACACACAAGATGCACTCAGCAAACATCTCCAGAGTGCATGGAGACAATGGATGAAGGGTTTCTTATTTACGTTTATTTCTGTAATGCTGCAACAAGGTGACACTTGGTACAATTAAAATTCATGTGTTAGAAAAGGAATGCCAGCTTTTTACTATAAATACAGCCTCTCTGTATATATTATAAATGATATATATATTGTAAATAATATATGTGTGTATGTGTATATGTATATGCACATATACACACATGATCGAATTATTATTTCTGCTTCATCTGCCCTTCAAAAAGGTACTGGGAAAGACAATAGGTTAGTAGTTGGGTCTCTTTGCCACTGAATGCGTGGTCTAGCTCTATTCTCCCATTTTCCCTAAAGTCTGGACTGTGGCTTGATCTGTTAATCCAAGCCGACATCAAGCTGCTAAACGCCTCCAGTACATCAGCCACAAAGTCAGCATGATGCAGCCACCACAAACAGCTGCTGGAAAGTCCAAAACTGTTTCCCAGCAGATAAATCTGCACATCCCTTGGCTTGCAGCTCCGCTCACAGATGCAGCACATGCTGGAGCAACGGGTTTTGTCTGGAGCTGCTGCGAAGAAACTCAGAAGCTTGCCATTTCATCACTGCCGGCGCAGACTTAATTTCTTATCAAGCCAAGGAATGGGAGATTTTTCAAAAGCTATGACTATAAATGAATGCACATGTTTTTTTAATGGTAATTTTTAGCCATAGAGAAAAAACCTAGATGTAACAGTAACTTCTGCCATCTTGTTGCTAAGACTTGGAAAACTTCCAGAGCATAGGGATGATATGGTTGGCCTGGGTGGGCCTCTACTACTGCATCAAGAATGCTCTCCCCTGTGGTGGGATTATCTGGGTGGTATTATGACAGCTGGCCCCACCTGAAGTGGCTCCCCAAACCCTCCAGGAAACTGGAATAGACCAGACTCTCTGCTTCCAGCAAGGCTGGTCAGACTCCTGCCAAGGAGGAGAAAGCAGCCCCCGGACAATAAAAGGGTACAAGTCAAGATCACCTTGGTAAAAAGAAAGATATTCGGCACAGAAAGAAGTAGCCTAGTCAATGCAAACATTTTCACTTATTACAAATTTGTTATTCTGACAAAGATTTTTTTGAAGGGGTTAGTTGTAGCATCTTCGTAATATTTAATGTTTTATGTCACTGTAACTATTATGTTTAGTCGAGCTGGGATATACAAAAAGGAAGATAAGAAAGAAACAAATACAGTCAAAGGCAGTAAACACTGTTCCACTCTTCATTTTAGACTCTCATAACAGTGAAAATACGTTCAGAGCAGCTCTGGACACTCGCATGGCCCCCAGAAAGCACCACCATTCACCACCATTGACTTCTCCGGAGAAGCGTGCTGTTAAAGCTCTCTCATAGAACTCTCTTCTATCGTGGTTCCTTGGAGAAGGCTCTTTGAAAGACTAGTTAGCGGCTTTCTAAGAGCCTTCCATGGAAGTCGGTTTCATCAAATTAATTTTCTGAATCTTCACTATATTATGTGCAAATTCAATTTTTTAAGATGTTAAATTCTTAACTTACATAAAACATTCAAAAACTCTTTACCTTTTGACCAGGTAAGCCTGGAGCTCCATGTAAACCATTTTCACCCTACGAGAAGAACAGAGAATAACTTTTATTAGCCATAGAAAACAAATGAAATAAATAAATTTTTGCAGTCAGGTGCCTGGGTGGCTCAGTTTGTTAAGAGTCTTCATCTCAGGTCATAATCCTGGGCTCCTAGGATTGAGTCCCACGTTGGACTCCCTGCTCAGTGGGAAGTCCCTCTCCTTCTACCCCTTACCCAGCTTGTGCTCTCTCCCTCTCCCTCTCTCTCTCTCTTTCATACTCTCTCAAGTAAACAAATTAAATCTTAAAAAGAGAAATGTTTACAGTCTTTAAGAACTAGTTCTAGTGTTGTGGGGAAAGATAGCCTAATACTGAACGCCTAGCATATTCAGGGGCTTTCTATCTATGCTTCCTTATCTTACAACTGTAGGATTGGTACTTAGTTTTATAAAATAAGAAAACAGAGTCTATGGGGTGCCTGGTGGCTCAGTGGGTTAAGTGTCTGACTCTTGGTTTCAGCTCAGGTTGTGATCTCATGGATCATGAGATCACAACCTGCTCGCTCCAAGGGAAGTCTGCTTGAAGATTCTCTTCGTCTACCCAACCCCCCCAAATTTATGTGTGCTCTCTTTCTCTTTCAAATAAATAAATTGGAGAAAGGAAGGAAGGGAGGGAGGGAGGGAAGGGAAGGAAAAAAAACAGAGTCTCTGAGTCATGTTCAGTGTCACCCATCTTGTGGCACAACCTAAGATTTGAATTGAGGTCTCTCTAACTCCACGGTCCATGTTTTCCCACATGCCATTTAGAATCCCTTATTTCATTTTCTCTTTCAAATCTCTGGACATGATATTAAAGTCTGGCATAGGCTTTCTATGGGCTGGCACTGTTCTCACAACAACCTATTGAGCAGATACTGTTATGATCATCTTACAAGAGATGATTACACAGCCAGTAGGAGATAGAAATGGAATTTGAACACATACACTTCAGCTCTGTGCACACAACCACCTCCCTCCACTATCTCATGGAAAAGATTTATTTCTGGCTCATAAGTGACCACATCTAACAACTGAATATGTCTATATATCTATAAGAGATATATAACATACCTATTATAGTGACAGACATACAGATATTATGTTAACATGTTCATATATATATATATATATATACGTATATATATATATATATCTGCTCATATCTGTTGATTGCCTTTAAACTGAAGACATACCCCATGCCATTTTACTTGAAACAACTGCTTACAAGAATTTTTAGTTCTTTCTGTTCATCTGGTTCCTGTCTTGGGTAAAAAGGTTTTCAGCAGATGCTTATCAGTTTCCATTACTGGAATTCATGGGTCATTTCTTTGACAAGTCTGCTTTGTAAACAGCACACCAGCTAGAATTAGATATTCCTGGGAGGATGTGTGTATTCTCAATGGATCCTTAAGAATTTTGCTGCTTATTGGAACTGACTTTGGCTCCTGAGTTTCCAGGTTTAAACAGCTCAAAATAAACTAACAATTCCATTGATCTGTTTCATTTCTAGAAAACATAAGTAATTTTTAAGACAATAATTTTTAAGCCTCACCTAGAATGAAGTTAGATATACCAATTTTAGACTTTTTAAGTAAAATTCAAATATATGAAGAAAAAAATCACATCTTCAAACTTTAAAATAGCAATAATACATTGTGTCTAAATCAAGAGATCATTATTATTTCATTAAGTAATACATTTTGGAAAGGTTTAGTCATTTTTAACAGTTATACCATCGTATACAGACACACATATTATTTTAAAGACTAAGTCTGTCCTCAGATTAAATTATCTAAGTTTTTTCTGCAGTATAACTGCTATCATCACAAAATATAATAAACACTAAAGGGAAAATTTTGTTGCTAAGTGGAATTAAATGTTGAAGTATCAATAAAGTATAATACACTTATCTATGTAATAAATATATTTCTATTATTTAAAAAGCTGTTACAGTTCTAGATCTCAGGCATTACACAAATACATGAGAAACTTCCTGTTTCATTTAATAAAGGGATAGTAAAAGCACATTAAGTATTTGATGCCCGGGAACATTCTGTGGAAATTGAGCTTCTGTTACTCATCACAGAAGTATGTCCACTTGTCCATAAGGAGCAGAATTATTTTCATCAGTTGGTCTAATATAATGTTTTATATCATATTACAAGTTATACAAGATAACAAGATACGGCATGTAATCCAGTAAAGTACACTGATACAGTATACACTGCCAAAAATACTTTTGGGGGGAAAAAAGTAGTGATGGTATCTCTTTCTCTTTTTCTTTGCTGACAGCCCATTCTTGTGTCCTATGTATTCCAAGTTCTGGCACCTCAAGCCCCCCTTCTGGCATGTGTCAGGTTAGGGTTGTACCCAGAAACACCACTAACTGGGAACCAAAAATCTCTAAAGCTGTGATATTAAGACTGTTTTTCTCTCTTTAATGGATACAGGTTCATGATTATTGCAATTAAAATGTTTTATTTTCCTATGGCCAGTGTTCATTGGTCTCCATTCTTTCCTGACGAGGAATTGGTTTTGTAAACATAATCCTAAACACCCAGATAACCCAATGGACACCACTGATTACTCTCACAGGAAAGAGTAAGCTTCCCCCACCTGTAAGCAGAAGATTTTGAGATTCTGAGAGGACACTACTGAAGGTTAAAGTTGGCAACACCGGTGTTCAGAACCCTTTTTATTTTTTTCTCACTGATTTTCTTGAAGTGATCGGAGATGTCCTGCTTAGCAACTTTTAATAATTTTAAACCATTTGTCATTTTTCTAGTTCCTAAGGGATTAATCGGCATATCTGTTTTTGTCCCTATCTCCAAAAAAAAAAAAAAAAATCTGTTAAGTAGCATAAAAACTAAAGACGAAAATAGCTGTAAAGAGTGAAATTTTGTTTAAAAGATTCATGGATAACGACATTTCCATCAGGACTTTCTCTAAAACCGAATGCAGCTTAAGGTCAAATGGAATTCTACCTAGCAAATAAATGGCCTATCTAAAATTACCGGATGGGCAAACATGAGCTGCTTTTTCTGAAGTCTTGTTGTTCCTCCTTCCTCCCAGTCCCAGCACAAAAAAGAAGAAAGAAGCTTCTCCTCTGGCTTCTGATCAGTATTTTAGCCCATTATTGAAGAAAATGACAATCAATGTTTCCCACAGCTACCCTAACATTCCAAACTTGTTTCTGAGGTATATACTTTCTGCTACAGGTTTTTCCATCAAAGGACCTGTGTCCTTTTCCTGTTACAAATCCAAGCTACAGAAGGACAAGCGAATGAGTGTGTGTTATACAAGTGAAGCCAAAATGAACGTTGCTGCTGATAGTGCTGTTGCCATGTTATTACTGTAATGCCTAGCCCATCTCCGACTTCACAGAGCAATCGAAAGCAGCCTTTCCAGAATTCAAAGTAACCGCTTTGAGAAGGTTTTGGAAAAAACTGAGGTGTGATTTAGGGCCAGCTGGTGGCTTTCTGAAAACCTGATCAAAGGATTTCATTTTACCCCCTTTTTATCACTGCACATTTCCCTGAAGGAAGCATGGCTAGGCGTAAAAGATAAATTATTAGTTTTCCTGATTCCTTTGACATTGGAATCTATGTCTTTTCTTATTATGCAGGAACTACATGTTGTCTGAAGGACACTTGATAAGAAATCACATTCCCCAGGGCTATATTTCCAAACCTAGTCCCAATGAGACCCAGCAAAGAAAAGCAGATTAAACAGGTAAAAGAAAATTTGCTAATAACTGCACCTAAGCCCAGAAATTAGAAAGTTATATAATATGTTGTGGAGATTTTTTTTGGTTTAAAAAATTAGGCATTTACCCTCTGATTAAAAAGGCTGAAATCCTACTATATAACACTGCTTCCATATTTAAAAAATTAATTTGGCCTATCATTTCATTTTATAGCCTGTTTTCTAGGAACTTAATCTCCTGTATGAAGATAGTATACAATTAGAAATAGATCAGTGTTTTCCCACAAATTAACTCATCTTTATTAAGAGAAGTTTTGCTTAAATTGAATGTCGAGTGAAATAGCTGGAAAAAACATTTGAAATGGAATGCCAGAGTTCTAGCATGATAACCAACAGAAGAGGGAGCTGAGAGTAAATCTGATTTTGATTTTGTGTATTGCTAACTTGACCTCTATATTTCTGACTACAGGTCTGCTTTACTCACGACATAATCTTCCGAAATTGAATTTTTACGGTCCTTAAATTGTTGCCACTCAACTAAATATATCAGGCAATAAAATAGATACCTCCTAATTTTTTTTTTCAGACATTTCATCCAATCTAAGTACTTCTGTTTCAGGGAGGAGTATTTTTCCTTCATATTTTCTTGGACTTCATTGCGAGGAATAAATTGTCAAGTTAAAAAGTATATATTGCATAGGGTTTAAAACTTCAGACTTTTCAAATTCTTTGTATTTGTTGGATCTTTAATGCAGCAAACACATTATCATATTAATGTTCAGGATAAGGCAAATTTATAATATTCTTTTTTTAAAAAAAGATTTTATTTATTTATTTGAAACAGAGAGACACAGCGAGAGAGGGAACATAAGCAGGGGGAGCAGGAGAGGGAGAAGCAGACTCCCTGCTGAGCAGGGAGCCCGATGTGGGGCTCCATCCCAGGACCCTGGGATCATGACCTGAGCTGAAGGCAGACGCTTAATGACTGAGCTACCCAGGCACCCCAATTTATAATAGTCTTAACCATAAGGTGAATGAGCTTGTTACTTATTATTACTTGTTCTTAACTGGTCATTTCAAAGAAGGGAAAACTAGCCCACCAAAGGTAATATATGGTGGATACATGTCTTAATCATAATAATATAAATATGGTGAGATCGCCATAGCTGAATCCAACATCTACCATCTCAAAAACTACCAACCTGAGTGTACGTGTGTGTGGGTACACAAGTATATGCAAGTGCACATACCTAGAAAACAAGCAGGATGGGTAGTCTTAAATACAGGGACAAGAACAAA